AACCGAAAGCATGTCGTATCGGGTTCAAACGGACGTTATTTGTTCAGACCTATCCGCAGCATTCGACAAGTTGAACCATGCTATTACGATTGCTAAAGTCGGCAGGCTCGGTGTATGTGGTAATCTTCTGAGTTGGGTTCGATCATATCTTACCGGTCGCCAACTAAAGGTTGCCATAAGAGATTGCAGATCAGCTAGCTTCTTCGCCACATCAGGTATACCTCAGGGAAGCCACATGGGACCGTTGATTTTTATACTGTACTTCAACGACGTGCATCTGGTCATCGAAGCTTCTCGATTTTCATATGCAGATGACTTCAAAATCTTCCAACGAATCCGCTCCATTGTTGACTGTCACTTTCTTCAACGTCAGCTGAATGTATTCGCTAGTTGGTGCAGTTTAAACAATAAAACAATAAAACATCTTATCCCAACTGCAACGCAAACCTACTAACATACGTAAAATATGGTGAAAACGCTTTAATGGGTTTTTTTTCATGTAGGCCTGCTTTTTGTGAATCATAGGTTTTGGAATTCTTGGGCAGCATTTCCCAATATTGTGAAATGCACAACTTTACCCAAGTATCCTTCTCCATAGGACGCTCTATTTAAATGCGCATTATTGGCGGGGGGAACAAGAACTAAAAAGAAAATTTGAAAGTTTAGTACTTTGTAAACCGAGCAACTTTGTCTAAGACCGTAGAGCTGTAGAAAATATGCTCACGGCAAAGATTTTAACCACGTTATCGGCCTAACTGCCATAATGTTCTTCTGTAATCTGACGAGAATCTGACAGTATATGTGAATGTTTTTATTTTTCTTTTCATGTTATCAATTTGTATGATTTATTGTTTTAAGTTTTCAAAGCTTTAACGTTCGATACAAATACAAAACTAACCAACGATTAATTTCTTGAAACATATAATTGAGAAGGATATGATTGATGTCTCTGAACCTGGGCCCTCTCCAAATTAGAGGTCCTGGCTTTAACCGAAGACAACATATCAAGAAGACTGGCAACTCTTCCATTTTTTCTCAAACGACCGGTATGAGACAGCCACAATCACGTCATCTGCCGCTCAAAGGTAAATGCTCCGAACGAATTGGATAGCAATGGTTCCATCCACAGAAGAAAGGTTTGTGTATTTGCTCATTTTTCTATGCGTTGCTTCCACCTTCGCTCGAGCGCAGCGCTATTGTGTCTGACGCTCGGATTCAGGCAGAGTTGTCTTCTTGGCAAGTCTTCTTGATATATTGCCTTCGCTTTAACCCACCAAAACCATACCGGTAATACCATAGAGGTAACTCTAAGACTGTTGGTAATACGACACTGAACACAGGACAACATGCAGGTACATGTGTTTTTACAAATTGATCGAATTAAATCAAATCGATTGTGGAGTGCGCGGCATTACCAAGCATGTGGAATAACCCACGTTTATGGTATGCAGTTCTTCAGTTAGTTTAGTGTGATTTGTATTTTACTGGAAACAAGTTTCCAAATTATTTTTATGAGTGTAATATTGTATCTAACATTGCAGGTAATAACATTGATTGATATATATTATGGCTGTGAACCATTTGCCGAGTTAAATTTAACTCGTGGTTAAAAGTGACATTTCGATAGTTATTCTTGATGTTCGAAAATCCCTGTGCTGTCGATCGACAGATTTTCGAGAAGAACTCAGCCACGGTTGTCAACATTTAACTTCTTGTCTGTCAGAAATAACCACGCTCGGATAGCAGGGTTAATCGATAACTTTCCATCTGTCAAATTTTAACCAAAAGTTAAAATAATCCACCAAATGGTTCAGAGCCTATATAATTTAAATTTATTTGCTGTGTACACATTAAAGTGATGAGCGGTGGTAGGAAAGACACTTAATAGTGATGCATTACTTCGTTGTATTAACATAGGATGTACCGTGAACGTGGGTTATTCTGCGTGAGCTGTAATTCCGTAGACTTGTCATTCAAATACCAAATGTTGTAACTGTTTGTCAGGATACACAGGACAACAGATAACTTGACATGTACTTCCAAATTGATCGAATTCAATCAAATTGATTGTCGAATGCGTGGAATTACTACACGTGTGGAATAACCCACTTACACGGTACGCATTTTCCCAAATAGAAACTATCATCAGCATATCATTTTGGTAAACATTCATAAATGAAAATCATGCATATAATAATTAATTTACGTTAAGTGTAGGTATGTGAAACACTGATAGTATTTATTTTATTTTAAATTAAAAAAAAAATAATATGATTATGCTTGTGATTTTGTAGAAAGTGTACATCCATATAAACGAAGCCTGGGTGATTGGTGGCTGTAAAAAGACACATTTTTTATTTAGTTTGAAATCGATTTTATATCACACACGCTGCATGCGCGAAGGTGCTTTGTGAGTCAGTAGAGCTAAATGACGTACGTTCTCTCTCCTCTTGGGTAGGGGAAGAATATTGATAAAGTGAAATGAAAATCAGTTTTTCACCAATACTCGTTATCAATATTACCCTTTCAATAATATTGTCAGTATGTCAATTTACTTTTAATATATTGACTCGTGTAACGAGTGCTTTAGCGTGTTGTCATTAATGTTGTCAATATTTATGTATTGATAATATTGTAAGGAAAATTGACAATACGATGTTTGTCAATATATTGACATGTGTAATGGGCGCTTAAGGTTCAATTTACTTTGATGCATTTTCGAAAAATTCAAATGCAGTTTTTTTCGACGCATCATTTCAGCTTGCAAAAAGCTAGCGTCATTCTATTCTTTTTGCTTACACAAAATGACGCGAGCTTTTTGCAATCTAAAATGATGCGTCGAAAAAAACTGCATTTGAATTTTTCGAAAATGCTTAAAATTAAAAGTGACAATACGATACACTTTACGATACGCTTTATATACGCCTTTTTAATGCACCACCAATGTAGAGTGCGCCACCCGAGTTCGAGAAGAAACGTCAACCAAACCGTTTGTTTACATCAGAATAAGTATTTTCCCGAACGCAAATAACAGCATTTTTCATTCAAAATCTTGCCAATTTCCATCGGTAATTGTCTTATTGTACGATTTTCCACAAATCTGAACTGATTTGCACCTTAACTATTAACACACAAGAAATCCGGAAGATCATAACCACTAAGGCACTTTTCTAATTTTCCATTTTTCTCAACAAAAATATAGGCCTTTTTAATAGAAACTAAACGATCGATTCAACCTCTGGTGGTGAATAGGAGAACGTCAAAAAGAGTGTTGTGAGCATAAATTTTTGCCTTGAGACATAGGCAACGGAACACTTTTTTACTTTTCCTTATAAATTGATTCATCTGAGATGCTGCAAAACTTAATCTACAGTTGAAAAATTTAATTCTGTAACGTTTTGGAAAAGATCCTGCTGGTGTTCAGGAATATTTTTGTTGAGAAAAATGAAAAATTAGAAAAGTGCCTTAGTGGTTATGATCTTCTGGATTTGCTGTGTGTGAATAGTTAAGGTGCAAATCAGTTCAGATTTGTGGAAAATCGTACAATAAGACAATTACCGATGGAAAGTGGCAAGATTTTGAATGAAAAATGCTGTTATTTGCGTTGGGGAACATACTTATTCTGATGTAAACAAACGGTTTGGTTGACGTTTCTTCTTGAACTCTTGTGGCGCACTCTACGTTGGTGGTGCATTAAAAAGGCGTATTCCTGAACACCAACAGGATCTTTGCAAAAACGTTACAGAATTAAAATTTTCAACTGTAAATCAAGTTTTGGAGCATCTCTAATAAATCAATTTATCAGGAAAAGTAAAAAAGTGTTCCGTTTCCTGTCTCACGGTAGAAATTTCTGCTCACAACACTCTTTTTGACGTTTTCCTATTCATCACCAGAGGTTGAATCGATCGTTTAGTTTCTATTAAAAAGGCGTATACGTTTGTTGAAAATGAGCAAAGCAGCTATCCGCCAACAGAGGGACACCCTTCGAATGGGTGATATCAGTTCAATGAGCTGGATTACCGAGGTGGAGCAGTCGGTTAAGTTGTGTGAGTAAAACCCCTGTATGATACATGCAATTAGTGACGTCACTACTTGCGTTTAGGTTGATTTTTTGGATCACTAATACAACCATATTTCACGATCTGCTTCACCTCTCTCTGTACCTCATTGATATCAGTTTGCTTAGTCAGCATTTTCATTGATTCATTGAGTGTAACCTACCCACACGGAGCTCTGGTCGACATTCCGGCGAAAATCCTAAGCCAACGCGACACCAACCTGATTTCTACAGAACCCCAACCCGATGTTGACCCGAAATTGGGTCGACATCGACTATAAATTTGCCTTACATTGATCCACGCTTACACGCAAACACGCTTACCACTACACCACCTGCGCCGCTACACTCTATTGTCGTACATCAAATGACAGTGAATGACTCAATTGGCAGTGACGATGAGGTTCGATTGAGAAAGGGGCTCTTCAATGATGGGCATGAGAGAATACGTTTTCAGAGAATTTATTGAATATTTGTATTGGTTCATCTTCAATCGAATTATATGAAAATTATCATCAGCAGTGATGATAATTTTCACATCATTCGATTGCAGTGTCCACGGTTGTCTATGGGAGTGGATACATTTGGCCCTTAGCTTGATCCGTAAGAAATGGTATGGTCAGATCTATTGTATCGTTGAGAACGGTTATACTAAACGCGTATCGATGATCGAGTAAAATATAATAATCAATGCGGGATTAATTATTTAGAATGAAGTGTATTTAATTTAATTCGATGGTTTTGTCTGATGTTATAACATTTCGTCAAAGCAATACATAGGTATATCTTCTCTTAGGATCTTAGGTTCACGTAAAATTTAACAGGAATCATTGGCTGGCATGAAGCTATAATAGGTAACGTCGGTAGTTGGTAGTAAATAAATATTAATTCACATCATTCTCGATAGTTATTTGAATTGTTTACAAAGATTTGTTTAAAGATATTATTTGATTTTAGTCGCGCGACGCGCCAATGATGGTAAGAATATACATAAATATGTTGATAATATCTAGATACAAATTCAATGCAGCAAAAATGTATTCCTCAGGGCTTATGCTGTACTTGTGTTCTCCACCCATCATCAGTTGAGTGTCATAGATTAGATAAATACTGAACAACAGTGCTCCAGCGCTTGCATATACGATTGTAATAGTTTTTCCCGGGAAGAATATAGCGATGATTCCAAAAAGCATCAGTATGATAACTGCAACGAACAAAACTCCACCCATCACTGTAAAATCCCACTTTGTTTGAAAAGCAAAAAGTGTCAGACCGAGACAAACAGCCGCCGTTATGCCTACCGCGAGAAGTACCTACAATTAAAAGGGTAAAAATGGCTTAGTCGGACAGGACAGGCCTCTTTAGATCATTTACATACCTCATCAGAGCTAAACCTGGCTGTAGTCACACCGAGTAGGAATGATTGCGCAAATGTGTACAGTGCTAGGAAAATAAAGTTCATCGGAGCTTTACGGCGCACGCTGCCGCAACATGCCATGGATATAAGAGTAACAATCATCACTCCCAATGCAATCCAAAACATTTCTGGGTGTCTCTTTACCCATAATTGGGTGCCTTGATGATACATAAACAGTGCTATGAAACCAAGTGTAATAGCAAGCTGGACCTGAAAAGTAAAATCATTGTTATAATATTGTAATCATGTAGATCAATTATTATTATGTTTTTACGCGATTTATATTGTATTGGGTGTATCCTCGTGTCAAAAAGCATAGAGTTTTTAATTGTATACCTAAGGCTGATGCAAATTTTATTTATATCTTATGTACCTAAGCTAAATTTAAAATGCTTCCTTTACGCAGACAAATATTTTCATCTAAATTACTAGCACGAAATATGTTTGCGTAGGCGTGGTTATCAAAAGACAAAGTCGATGAAGATAATCGATCAAAGCAGATAGGACCTTTTGAAATGTTCATCGAGAAATTTGTATGGGTTTTATACTACACTCTGAAAAATTTTCACGTCCGATTTACGTGAAATAGCTCGTAGCTACTCTGATTTTAGAAAACCTCAAATGTTACGTGTCGTTAGTCACTTTGACCTGCATCACAAGTCATGTTCACTAAAAATTTTAGTGAAATCTACCGTTTTTTCACGTGAACATATTTAGTGTGTCTGTGTTAGTGAGTTTCCGACTTTGACATTTCAGTGAAACTAGGTTTACGTGATTTTCAGGTATGCAAAAAATCAATATGGCGTCAAAGTGTAATTTGGCGGAAGAACTCCTCAACGATTTAAAATTTCCCGACAGCTTGCTGAAAGTATTGGACGGTAATTTGATTATTTTACTTTATTTGTTTAAGATTATGAGTCACTAACGTAGCTTCTTTTATATGTTTATAATTTCAGAAGGCGGATTCGGCATCTTTAACCTCCTTACTGCATCCGAGGATCAATTCTTAGCATGCTTAGAAGAGCTGGGCTATGAAGATATTTCGCGCACATCGTCATATTTATTCGGATTTCAGATGGGCGATATTCGATTACGAAAATACTTCTCCGAGCTTGTTCAGCCTCTACGTCTACAGACAGATTATGAAGTGATGCTTTCAGGCAGTGTGAATAACAAAGGAACTAATTATCGAACAGGAAATTTCATGCCAATGTTCAGAAACGGTACAACACTTTTATATGAGATTCTTGAAATAATGTATTTTGAAAATTCATTGTATTTAATAGTACAAATTTGGGATGTAGGCCAATACCAAGAACACTTTTTAGCATACGAAGCGATGAATCGTTTAAGTTTGGTAAATATAATTAGCATATATAGATATATTTTTATTTTGACAGTGTATCACTACATCGCGTTGGAAATTCGTACATGTTTAGAGTTAAGAATAATTATAATGATAATTTAAATAAATGTTTGAAACAGAGTTTGATACAGATTTATAAATATTTTGTTAAACAGTCAATAATTTGCAATTTTATGAGCAGGTATAAATATCAAATGCAACACGCAAAATTTATAGCTGCCCGATAAAATTGCAAAATATTGACTGCTTCTATTAATACGTTCAATTACTATCACTCCGTGACGTGAAACGCATTTCGAATGAAACGGAATATCACGTAAAAATTACGAATGTTTCCTGTATTTTTTACTCAATTTTCACGTAAGTAGTACGTGGAAATCATGCCTTATATACTTGACTGATCACGTAGATAAATGAAACTGATTTTTTGGCTACATAGTATTCCAGTCAAAGTTACGTGAAAAGTAGGGTGAACGAAAACCACCTATGTTCTCAGGTAGATTGGACGTGAAGATTTTTCAGAGTGTAGTTTCTGAATTTTGAAGAAAATCTATGCTTGACATGTATTCTTCATCATCTGGCGCAAGCATTTCCAATAAAAACATATTTTTTGGAACTGTACAACAAACTTTCACTAAGAATAATGGTTTATTTTGAAGTGGATACTACTTAGGGCATCACTGCTTCGTAGTAGTGTGCACAGGGGGTAAGTCACTCTGCCACTTTGTGACTGTGCTGATACGCCTTTTTAATGCACCACCACGTAGAGTGCGCCACGCGAGTTCGAGAAGAAACGTCAACCAAACCGTTTGTTTACATCAGAATAAGTATTTTCCCCAACGCAAATAACAGCATTTTTCATTCAAAATCTTGCCAATTTCCATTGGCAAATCAAAGTTGGCACTCGTGGAGAATAGAAGAACTATAACAGTGATGATGGTTTCAAAATTTTCCACGGGGAAGTATATGAATGCAATCTTAAAATGCTTTTATTTTGCAAATGGAACATTTTATTTAAATCTGGTTGCTGCTACAGTGGTAGAAAAGCTCAAATCTATGTGTACACCTAAAAATCTGAAAAGAAATTAATTTTTCTGTATTATTTGTATATTGAGTAGTCCTTAAGTTTTCTACTAACATAGCATCAACCAGATTTAAATAAAATGTTCCATTTGCAAAATGAAAGCTTTTTAAGATTGCACTCGTATACCTCACCGTGTAAAATTTTGAAACCATCATCACTCTCATAGTTCTTCTATTCTCCACGAGTGCCAACTTTGATTTGCCAATCGGCAATTGTCTTATTGTACGATTTTCCACAAATCTGAACTGAACTGAACTGAACATCTTAACTATTCACACACAGCAAATCCGGAAGATCATAACCACTAAGGCACTTTTCTAATTTTTCATTTTTCTCAAAAAAAAATATTCCTGAACACCAGCAGGATCTTTTCCAAAACGTTACAGAATTAAATTTTTCAACTGTAGATTAAGTTTTGCAGCATCTCAGATGAATCAATTTATAAGGAAAAGTAAAAAAGTGTTCCGCTGCCTATGTCTCAAGGCAAAAATTTATGCTCATAACACTCTTTTTGACGTTCTCCTATTCACCACCAGAGGTTGAATCGATCGTTTAGTTTTTATTAAAAAGGCCTATGGTGTTTCTGTGTCGAACGTGCTATCAAAACGTCAAGCGGCAACATACAATGCAGGGGAAACATGTCAAAAGGGTCTAACTCGAAACGTAAACAATGACTTGGATCGTCGGTTTTTTATGAATGACAACACACCAATCAGAGATTTTGCGACTCGTGAGCGCTCACTCTGAGTGAACGCTCACGAATCATAAGATCGCTGATTGTGACGCTCTCAGCGAAATTGACTGGTTTTATGAGTCAAACACATACTTTACTCCCTCGTCTTGTTACTAACAAGTACAACATGACATTATTGCATCTAATGATTGCATAATTCCGAATATGTTTTTATAGCAAGTAAGTGGAAGCAACCCTGCTTGAAATTATGCAAACTTAATTGGCTAATCAAAGTTGGCACTCGTGGAGAATAGAAGAACTATGAGAGTGATGATGGTTTCAAAATTTTACACGGTGAGGTATACGAGTGCAATCTTAAAATGCTTTTATTTTGCAAATGGAGCATTTTATTTAAATCTGGTTGATGCTATGTTAGTAGAAAACTTAAGGACTACTCAATAGACAAATAATACAGAAAAATTAATTTCTTTTCAGATTTTTAGGTGTACACATAGATTTGAGCTTTTCTACCACTGTAGCAGCAACCAGATTTAAATAAAATGTTCCATTTGCAAAATAAAAGCATTTTAAGATTGCATTCGTATACTTCCCCGTGGAAAATTTTGAAACCATCATCACTGTTATAGTTCTTCTATTCTCCACGAGTGCCAACTTTGATTTGCCAATTGGCAAATCAAAGTTGGCACTCGTGGAGAATAGAAGAACTATGAAAGTGATGATGGTTTCAAAATTTTCCACGGCGAGGTATACGAATGCAATCTTAAAATGCTTTTATTTTGCAAATGGAGCATTTTATTTAATTCTGGTTGCTGCTACGGTGGTAGAAAAGCTAAAATCTATGTATGCACCTAAACATCTGAAAAGATATTATTTTTTCTATATTATATGTCTTTTGAGTAGTCCTTAAGTTTTCTACTAACGTAGCATTACCCCAGATTAAAATAAAATGCTTCATTTGCAAAATAAAAGCATTTTAAGATTGCACTCGTATACCTCACCGTGTAAAATTTTGAAATCATCATCACACTTCTAGTTCATCTATTCTCCACGAGTGCCAACTTTGATTTGCCAATTAAGACATAAATATTGTTAAAATGTAATGTGCTGCACTCTTAGCTACGATTTCCTAAAATTATCGGTATTTTTTGCCGATAAAAATCGTTACTTTTCACTATAAATAGGCTACTTTTTAATATAAATTATGTAATTTTTAGCGTTAATTATTGGTAATCCATGATTACCGATAATTTAGGTATGTGCACTTTCTTGGATTATCGGTAATTTTTACCGATATCTAGGTATTTTTACCGACTTTAAGGTATGTGCATCTTAGCGTGCGCAATGAATCTGTCCAATAATTTCGCACGTAAGTCACATGACAGATGAAAAAAGGTCGAATCTCTCAGGTCGAATGTCACGCTCAACATTTCAATTGGACCTATGATCTTTTTTCTTCCATAACTTTTAGTTTATCTAAGAAAACACAACTGTTGGGCTTCACAATTAGCTAAAACCTATAAAATTCAACATTTGTGAGCTAGCTGTGAAGAACAGCATCGATGCCGGGAAAAATGCGAATTATTTTTGTCTCAAAAAACTTTGAGGCTCATTATGTCAGCTTATTCGAAATGTTACATACGACCTAATAAAAAAGGACTCCAGACTTGTACTATCACGGAACCGAAAAATTAACCCAAAATTAAGTTCTTTTCACTCATCTCCCATGTTCCGTTCAATAAGCTAATTTTCAGTAAACCGCTTACAGTAGTTTACATTTGACGACGGCAAAAATAATTACTTACTCATGAGTATTTTCTACCTAAAATTTAGTTAAATTGACTCAAATTTGAGAATATCTCATATACTCACTAGTAGCATAGAGGTGACTCTAAGATCAGAAGGTCCCGAAGAAATGTGCTCAACTTTTTTGCTTAGCTCTGGTACTATCTTCGGTCCCAAGCTAATCGATGCACCCCTCGAAACATAGAAAATCCACGAACCCCTCATTTGATCTGCCAAACTTTCATAGCGAATCAAAACAAACATAGTGTAGTACTAGAATTTCG